GGCGCACACGTCATTTCTCACATCCAGTTGGCTGGAACTCATCCCATGGCCACTCCCACATGCAAAGGCAGTTGGAACATGTAGTCACTAGCCCAGTAGGACTGTCTCCTTTAGCTCCCAGCCCAGCCTCTGACACGTAACACAGGCTCAGGGCATGTTGGCCAAAGGAGGAAATGAGAGGAAGGAAGCCTTTGCCAGGCAGCAGTCTAGCCGTTACCTCCATGTAGGTTTTCATCAGGGCTGCTTCTTGAGTTGTCTTCATGGCTAATAACAAACATGCCCTGATGGCTTACAATTTACCAGGTGCTGGTATTCTTTCTAGGCATTTAACTCTCACAGCTATTCTCCGAGGCAGGTATTCCTTTGCTAGAGGTAGTTGATCCAGCTCCGCTCTGAAGCTTTGCCGCTGCCAGGCTTCCAGCACAGCTCTTCCTTCCGTTCCCTCTCTGTCCCAGCTGGCTGCCTTCTTCATCTCTCCAGCCTCTTCCTGTTGGAGTGCTAGGATTGATCCTTGCATCTCCAAGACAATCTCCTTATATTTCAGGGCCTTAAACATCATCAGTATGCTCAGGATTCCCAAATTTAAATTCCCATGGTCAACCTTTCTCCTAAACCTCAGACACATCTGCTCAGGGACTGCTACACACCCACCACAGACGCTTCAAATTTAACATGTCCCAGACGGGACTCCCAATCTTCCCTCCCTTCCCTCTGCCCTGCCACACAAAACACAGGGATCCAGTCCCATCCTCAGCCTCCCCTGTCTTCATCCTTCCACTTGTTCAAGCCAAAAGCTTTGAGCTATCTTTGGCTTTTCTTTTTCCTTCCTCCTTCAAGCAACCAGGAAATCTCATTAGCTTTTCTTCTAGTCAAAATGCGTTCAGGACTGGTTGGGCATAGTAGCTCATGCTTGTCATTTCAGCACCTTGGGAGGCCCGAGGCTGGAGGATTGCTTGAGTCCAGGAGTTCAAGACCAGCCTGGGCAACACAGTGAGACCCATGTCTCTACAAAATAAAAATAAAAAGCCAGGTGTGGTGATGCACGCCTGTAGTACCAGCTACTCAGGAAGCTGAGGCGAGAGGATCTCTTGATCCTGGGAAGTTGAGTTTGCAGTGACCCATGATTGTGCCACTGTACTCCAGCCTAAGTGACAGAGTGAGATCCGGTCTCAAAACAACAACAACAAAAAACGAAAAAAAAAAAAACCCAAAAACTCAAAATATGTCCAGGACCAGCCACTTTTCACCACCCCAAACCCCATTGTGCTGACGCCACCAGCATTTCTCGCCTGGATTATTGCAGTAGCCTCAAAGCCAGTGTTCCCATTCATACCTTTGCCTTGCCTCAGTCTACTCTCTGGCAGAGTTGGAAGGGTCCTTTGAAAAGATGTCAGTCATACCTCTTCTCTGTTCAAAGCCCTGCAGTGTGTGCTCGTTTCATTCAGAAGAAAGGCCTGAACCTTTGAGCCACCTGCCAGGCTTTGCCTGAGTGGGCTCTGTACCCCCCAACTCCTTCATCTGCTCTACCTCCTTCTGCTTTACACATTCCAGCTCCGTGGCCCCCTGCAGTTCCCAGAGGAAGCCAGGTGCCCTCCTGCCTTGGGGCTTTTGCACTGGCTACTTCTTCTGTCTGCAATACTTCATTCCTGACCATCTGCACCACCAACTTCCTCGCTTGCCCTTTCGAGTTCCTTCTGGTGTCACTGAAGCTTCCCTGACCACTTGGCTTAAACGTGCAGAGGCAGTCTGAAAGAAATAGCATTAAATCTATATATTACTTTGGGTAGTATTGCCATTTTCATGATATTGCTTCTTCCTATCCATGATGATGAAATGCTTTTCCATTTGTTTGTGTCCTCTCTTATTTCCTTGAGCAGTGGTTTGTAGCTCTCCCGGAAGATGTCCTTCACATCCCTTGTGTTCTGTATTCCTAGGTATTTATTCTCTTTGTAGTGATTGTGAATGGGAGTTCATTCATGATTTAGCTCTCTGCATGCCTGTTGTTGGTGCAAAGGAATGCTTATAATTTTTGCACATTGATTTTGTATCCTGAGACTTTGCTGAAGTTGCTTATTAGCTTAAGGAGTTTTGGGGCTGAGATGATGGGGTTTTCTAAATATAGAATCATGTCATCTGCAAACAGAGACAGTTTGACTTCCTCTCTTCCTATTTGAATACATTTTACTTCTCTCTCTTCCCTGATTGCCCTGGCCAGAACTTCTAATATTATGTTGAATGGGAGTGGTGAGCTATTCCCATCAAATTACCACTGACAATCTTCACAGTATTAGAAAAAACTACTTTAAATCTCCTCTGAAATCAAAGAAGATCCTGAATAGCCATGACAATCCTAAGCAAAAAGAACAAAGCTGGAGGGATCATGCTACTTGACTTCAAAATACACTATAAGGCTAGTAATCAAAACAGCACGGTACTGTTACCAAAAGAGACATATAGATCAATGGAACAGAACAGAGACCTCAGAAATAACACCACACAGCTACAACCGTCTGATCTTCAACAGACCTGACAAAAACGAGCAATGGGGAAAGGATCTATTAATAAATGGTGCTGGGGAAAGTGGCTAACCATATCCAGAAAACTAAAACTGGACCCCTTTTTTACACCTTCTACAAAAATTAACTCAAGATGGATTAAAGACTTAAATGTAAAACCCAAAACCATAAAAACCCTAGAGGAAAATTTAGGGTGTACCATTCAGGACATAGGCACAGGCAAAGATTTCATGACTGAAACACCAAAAGCAATTGAAACAAAAGCCAAAATTGACAAATGGGACGTAATTAAGCTAAAGAGCTTCTGCACAGCAACAGAAACTATCATCAGAGTGAACAGGCAACCTACAGAATGGGAGAAAAATTTTGCAATATACCCATTTGATAAAGATCTAATATCCAGAACGTATGAGAAACTTTAATAAATTTACAAGAAAAAAACAACTCCATAAAAAAATGGGCAAGGGATATGAACAGACACTTCTCAAAAGAAGACATTTATGTGGCCAATAAACATACGAGAAAAAGCTCATCATCACTGGTCATTGGAGAAATGCAAATCAAAACCACAATGAGATACCATCTCGCGCCAGTCAGCATCATGATTATTAAAACATCAGGAAGCAATACTTGCTGGTGAGACTGTGGAGAATAGGAACACTTCTACACTGTGGGTGGGAATGTAAATTAGTTCAACCATTGTGGAAGACAGTACGGCAATTCCTCAAGGATCTAGAACCAGAAATACCACTTGACCCAGCAGTTCCATTACTGGGTATCTACCCAAAGGAATATAAATCATTCTACCATAAAGACACATGCATACATATGTTTATTGCCGCACTGTTTACAATAGCAAAGTCATGGAACCAACCCAAATGCCCATCAGTGGTAGACAGGATAAGGAAAATGTGGTACATATACCATGGAATACTATGCGGCCATAAAAAGGAATGAGATCATGTCCTTTGCAGGGACATGGATGAACCTGGAAGCCATCATCCTCAGCAAACTAACACATAAACAGAAATTAAACACCACATGTTCTCACTCATAAGTGGGAATGAACAATGAGAACACATGGACACAGGAAGGGGAAAAACACACATCAGGGCCTGTTTGGGAGTGCAGGGCAAGGAGAGGGAAATTAGAGGATGGGTCAGTAGGCGCAGCAAACCACATGGCACGTGTGTACCTATGTAACAAACCTGCATGTTCTGCATATGTATCCCGGAACTTAAAGTAAAATAAAAAGAAAATAAACGTTTAGAGGTTCTATTGGTGGTGAACGGAGAGGGGGATCTTGCACCGTTTCACACAAAATCTCCATTTCAACACATCTGGAACCATCCTCATTCACTCATTCCATCAACATATATTTGTGAAGCATCAGCTCTGTTCCAGTGCTGAGCAAGGTCCTGGGGGCACATGGCCCTGGCTGCCCTGCAGGGCTCCTGGATGAAGGGAAAGCCGGGTAGAAATCAGGGAGCAGTGCCGAGTGATGGGTCAACACCTGAACCTGGAGACAGCAGCTTTGTCATTGGGTAGATGTGGGGGTTGAACGGCAGCCCTCCAGTAAGACGTGTCCAAGTGCTAACCCCTGGACCTGTATGTGTCATCTTGTTTGGAAAATGATCTTTGCAAATGGTTAAGGATCTTGAGAAGAGTACATGCTGCATTATCAGGGTGGGCCTTCAATCCAGTAAGTGTCTTTACAAGAGACAGAAGAAGGGATGATGCAAGGAGATAGGAGGAGGCCACGTTAAGATGGTGGCAGAGATCAGAGTTCTCCAACCTCCACCCAAGGAAAGTCTGCAGCCACCAGAAGCTAGAAGAAGCATGGAGCCTCTGGAGCTCAATTTCAACTTCTGGCATCCAGAACAGTGAGGGAACAATGTTCTGTTGTTTTAAACCACCAAGTTTGTGATAATTTGTCACTCTTCCCCAAGAAACTAATACAATAACTGTGGCATTAAAGACAAGCCGTCTGACCACTGAGACTCCCTCGTCCACCTGTAAAATGCGGATGATTGCACCAACACCCTCATGCCTACAGTACCTGTCTTACACAATCAGGCATATGTATTTTAGTGTTTGCTAGATTTTTTCAAAATAAAAATATTTTATCATTCTTTTTAATGGCTTAAATAATAAATAAAATAATTTAAAAACACTTAAAAAGAAAAGAAAGATAGCTGAATTTCACAACTCCAGAACTAGCCACTATTCTGTTTTGGGTTATTACATATGTCTTTTCTTTCAGATATGGAATATATGCTTAATTTCTGCATTTATTTATTTATTTATTTATGGTGCCAATTTTAAATAGTTTTATTTAAGACACTGCATTTTCCATTTACAACACAGTATTTATAAAGTGCAACGTTATGTCCTTCCCCTCTGCATATGTTCCATATTCAAGTATTGAGAATGCCCAGTAACTTACTATAGCAGCTGAACTTTTTAAAACTGCCACAGAACTTGCTACAAATTTAGATCCTTCAATGTTTTACATGTGCGGAACAATGCTACGACATCTACACTTGGGTTGGCTTAATCAGTATCTTCAATGGTGGGCCCTGAGGAAGCACCACCAGAGGCAGGAGCTCCACCACCAGAGGGAGGAGCTCCACCACCAGAGGGAGGAGCTCCACCACCAGAGGGAGGAGCTCCACCACCAGGGAATGCCCCAAGCGTCCCTCCTGGCTTGCCCCCCTGCACTCTGGTACACAGCTTGGTGATGATGGGGTTGAAGACTCTCTCCTCCTCTTTCTGTTGATATTCAAATTCTTCCTTCTAAGCAGTCTGATTCTTATCGAGCCAGTTGATAATTTCATTACATCTGTGCAGAATCTTCTGTGTGTCCTCATCGTTAGTCTTGCCTTGAAGTTTCTCATCTTCGACAGCTGCTTTCATGTTGAATGCATAGGACTCAAGCAAATTCTTAGATGACACTTTGTCCCTCTGCTTCTCATCTTCAGCTTTGTACTTCTCAGCTTCCTGGACCATGCGTTCAATGTTTTCCTTGCTCAAACAGCCCTTGTCATTAGTGATAGTATCTTGTTCTCTTTTCCTGTACTCTTGTCCACAGCAGACATACTGAGGATGCCATTGGTAACAGTGTCAAAAGTGACTTCAGTCTGAGGAACACCTTGGGATGCAGGCAATATGCCTGTGAGTTCAAACTTGCCAAGCAGGTTGTTATCCTTGGTCATGGCACGCTCACCTTCATAAACCTGAATAAGCACACCAGGCTGGTTGTCAGAATAGGTAGTGAAGGTCTGTGTCTGCTTGGTGGGAATGGTAGTATTACGCTTGATGAGGAAGGTCATGACTCCACCAGCAGTTTCAATACTAAGGGAAAGAGGAGTGACATCCAAGAGCAGCCAATCTTGAACATTTTCAGACTTGTCTCCAGACAGGATGGTGGCCTGGACAGCTGCACCATAAGCAACAGCTTCATCAGGGCTGATGCTCTTATTCAGTTATTTTCCACTGAAGAAGTCTTGGAGAAGCTTCTGAATCTTGGGGATGTGATAGAACCACCAACCAGGACAATATCATGAATCTGTGACTTGTCTAGTTTGGCTTCTCTACGGGGGCCAGGGTGCCATGGAACAGGTCAGCATTCAATTCTTCAAAATGGGCACGGGTAATGGAGGTATAGAAGTTGATTCCTTCATAGAGAGAATCAGTCTCAATACTGGCCTGGGTGCTGGAAGAGAGAGTACGCTTAGCATGCTCACAAGCAGTACGGAGGCGTCTTGCAGGTCTCTTGTTCTCACTGAGGACGTTCTTCTGTTTGTGCTTGAACTCAGCAATAAAGTGGTTGACCATTTGCTTATCAAAATCTTCACCCAAGTGGGTGTCTCTGGCTGTAGATTTGACCTCAAAGATTCCATCCTCAATAGTGAGGATTGACACATCAAAAGTGCCACCTCCCAGGCCAAAGATCAGCACGTTTCTTTCTGCTCCAAGCTTTTTGTCTAAGCCGAAAGCAACAGCAGCAGCAGTTGGCTCATTAATAATTCTAAGTACATTGAGACCAGCAATAGTTCCAGCGTCTTTGGTAGCTGGCACTGTGACCACGGCATTGGTAGCGGGCACCGTGACCACGGCACTGGTAGCAGGCACTGTGACCACAGCATTGGTAGCGGGCACCATGACCACGGCACTGGTAGTGGGCACTGTGACCACGGCATTGGTAGCGGGCACTGTGACCACGGCACTGGTAGCGGGCACTGTGACCACAGCATTGGTAGCTGGCACTGTGACCACGACATTGGTAGCGGGCACTGTGACCACGGCACTGGTAGCGGGCACTGTGACCACAGCATTGGTAGCTGGCACTGTGACCACGGCATTGGTAGCGGGCACCGTGACCACGGCACTGGTAACAGTCTTCCCAAGCGAGGCTTCTGCAATTTCCTTCATCTTTGTCAGAACCACAGAGGATACCTCCTCTGGATAGAAGTCTCTTCCTTATATTCTACTTGGACCTTGGGCCTGCCAGTATCATTCACCACCATGAAGGGCCAGTGCTTCATATCAGACTGGACAACAGCATCATCAAATCTGCGCCCAATCAGACGTTTGGCATCAAAAACCGTGATGGTGGGGTTCATTGCAACTTGATTCTTTGTGGCATCACCAATCAATCGTTTGATGTCAGTAAAGGCGACATAGCTTGGAGTGGTTCAGTTTCCTTGATCATTGGCAATTATTTCTACTTTTCAGTACTGGAAAACACCCACACAAGAGTAGATGGTGCCAATATCAATACCAATGGCAGGTCCCTTCGACATGGTTGCTGGCGCGTAGGCCTGGCCCCGACAATGAAGAAAGCCACAGGAATCCCGACAGCTGCAGGAGAGTTCAAGGAGACCCTATTTTATTTTTTTGAGACAGAGTTTCACTCTGTTGCCGAGGCTGGAGTGCACTGGCACAATCTAGGCTCACTGCAACCTCTGCCTCCCAAGTTCAAGTGATTCTCCTGCCTCAGCCTCCTGAGTAGCTGGGATTACAGGCACACCCCACCATGCCCAGCTACTTTTGTTGTTGTTTGTTTTTTTGAGTTGGAGTCTTGTTGCTGTCACCCAGGCTGGAGTGCAATGGCATGATCTCAGCTCACTGCAACTTCTACCTCCCAGGTTCCAGCAATTCTCTTGCCTCAGTCTTCCGAGTAGTTGAGATTACAGGCACCCACCACCAGGCCTGGCTAAATTTTGTATTTTTAGCAGAGACGAAGTTTCACCATGTTGGCCAGGCTGGTCTTGAATTCCTCCTGACTTCAGGTGATACACCCGCCTCAGCCTCCCAAAGTGCTGGGATTACAGGTGTGAGCCACCACATCCGGCCTCATTTTTGTATTTTTAGTTGAGACAGGGTTTCACCATGCTGACCAGTCTTGAACTCCTGATCTCAAGTGATCTGCCTGCCCAGGCCTCCCAAAATGCTGGGATTACAGGCGTGAAACACCACACCTGGCCAGTGCCTGAATTTAAATCTTACGTTTTCACACTTCTCAATCATTTGACTTGGCTTAGCTGCTTGGTGCCCCAGTCTCCTCCAGAGCAGGGATGGTGACACACCTATCTGTCAGGGTTCCTGTGAGGATGGAAAAGTCCACACAGAGCTTTTGAAGTACCAGGGCCTGGCATATCCTCTAGATGGGGAGCAGAAGAGTGAAGGGTTGCTGGAGGTCCTAGTATGCTGCAAAGGGTTAGCACAGAACTGGACAGGCAGAGAACTCTCAATACACGTGCTCGCCGTCACTGTACACTGCACTTCAAGACTGATTCCAGCCACGTGGACCTTCTCCCAGCTTCTGCAAAGTCTCCCACTCTCTAGGCCTGGAGAACTTTGCACTGGCAGCCCCCTTCCTTCTTCCTACCCAGTGATTCCTCTTTGCCCTTCCAGTCTTGGCTCCAGCACCCTCTCTTCCTGATGCTTATGCCTTTTTTTGGGGGGGGGGATGGAGTTTCGCTCTTGTTACCCAGACTGGAGTGCAATGGTGTGATCTTGGCTCATCGCAACCTCCGCCTCCTGAGTTCAGGCAATTCTCCTGCCTCAGCCTCCTGAGTAGCTGGGATTACAAGTACATGCCACCACACCTGGCTAAGTTTTGTATTTTAAGTAGAGACAGGGTTTCTTCGCGTTGGCCAGGCTGGTCTCAAACTCTTGACTTCAAGTGATCTAACCGCCTTGGCCCTTCAAAGTGCTGGGATTACAGGTGTGAGCCATCATGCCCAGCATGGCACAATATCAATTCATATATTCTTCATAACGACTTTAGAAAGGCAAAGTACTCTTATTAGCACCATTTTACAGATGAAGAAACTGAGTCCAGAAGAGGTTAAGCAATGTACCCAAGTTAATGGGCTAACGAGGGGCAAAACAGAATGAAACCTGGGTAGAATGAGCCCAGAGCCCATGCCTGTCCACATTCCTCCCTCTCTTCTTGAGCTAGGGGCCATGTCTGTGCTCAGGACATTGCCTGTCCTGGCCACACACTTCAGTGATCATTTCTTATATGCCAGGCACTGTTGCCTGCTTTCATAAATATTACCTGATAGAATTCTCACAGCCAGCCCAGGGAGTTAATATCAACCAGCCCATTTAGCAGATGAGAACCCCAAGGTGGGACACACTGCCAGTAAATGGTAGAACCAGCTTTGGGTCATGCTGGCTGGGCCTGCCTCAGACCTTCTCAGTTCTTTCCCATTGCCTTAGGGAGGTTTTTTTTTTGTTTTTTTTTTTTTTCTGTATTAGGCTCCCCGGCTTCCCTTACCCTTCCTCCAAGAAAAAGAAAGACGGGGAGAGAACTGGAAAGAGAGACCAGGAAGGGGACCGGGACTGGAGGGCGAGACAGGGATGGAGAGACTCACAAAGATCGCCTGCACGTGCTTTCTATCAGAGCACGGACAGTGGTTCCATGCGCCCAGCAGATGGCAGGATGTAGCCAAAGATTCCCCGCAGTCCGGAGAGCTGGGCCCGCAGGATTGCAAGGCAGGGGGATCCTGCCTGTCCCTCAGGGAGCGTACTGGGAACCCGCGCTCGCCCTACAAGCCTCGGGGCGCATCTGCCGCACCCTGTACTAGGCACCCGCAACCGTGGCACGTATCTCCCGCCGCGGGAGCCCAGAGACCCAGATGCCAGCCTTGCCCCTACATCGGACGCCGATGCTGCCCAATTTTGGGGGAATCCCGAGACTCATGCTCAGCCATTCCCTGGGAGAATGATTTGGGGCAAACGACGGCTCTCTTGGGCCTCAGTTTCTCCATGTACAATGAAGGGGTCAGATTAGTTCCAGTGGGTCTAGATACTTTCATTCATGAAACACTGGGAGGAACCTTAAGAGGAGCCGTGTCGGCTGGAGAGCCAGAAGACACTGCACTGCCCGTCCCAACACTAATGCGCAAATACAGCCCAGCGGAGAGCCCTGGGACCCCCTTCGCAGCCAGGGCCGACTAACCACAGACCTAAGAGCCTCTTTCCCTCTGGACCTCCGTCTATGCGCTTCTCAATAGGAACGACGCTTTCTTATAGCTGGGTTGTTGGGAGCGGATGTAGGATGGCGCTAACAAAGCGCGTTGCCGGGGCCTGGCCAGGGTGGGTGCTGACCAACCATTACTGCCTGGAGGGACCCAACTGCGACCGAGGGAGGAGGCCAAGCAGGGATTCAGACTCCTCGGGCCGATCCGGGTCTCAGCCCCCTCTGCCCCGCCGCCGCCCCCCGCGCGCGGCCTCCGCGCGTCCCCTCCTCCCCGCTCCCGCCCCGCCTCCCGCGCCGCCTCGCGTCTCCCGCCCGCCTGCTGTAGCCGGCGAGGAGCGCGGCACGTTGGCCCCGGCGCTAGGAGCTCCCGGGTTCGCTGGCGGGCGCCGGCGTGAGGACCTGCGAGCGCAGCCCGGGGCGGGGCAGGGCAGAGGGCTGGGCTGGGGCGAGGTCCCTGCGAGCGCAGTCTGAGGGGCGCCAGGGAGGAGGGAGCCGCCGTCCCGCCCCTGCGCGGCGCTCGGCCCCCTGGAGCTCCGCGCGCGGCTACAACCTGAGCTGGGCGCGCTCCCCGCATCCGGCATCCCGCATCCTGCATCTCGCATCCTGCATCCCGCGTCCCCGCGGACGGGCATGTAGCAGCGGCAGCAGCGGCGGAATATGGGCGGGAACCACTCCCACAAGCCCCCCGTGTTTGACGAGAATGAGGAAGGTAAGAGGGCGTGGGGCGCCACTTCCCGCCACGCGCCGCCCCGCTCGGACAGGGGCTGGGCCTCCCCTGCCTCCGTCACCCTCGGCCGAGTCCTGCTGGGCGCCGCGTGCTGCCCGGCGCGGGGACCCAGGCTCGGCCACTTCGCCCAGCTCCGGCAGAGTGTGCCCGGCTCCGTGCCAGGCGCGGCAATTCTGCCCAGGGAACTCCTCGGCACCCAGTGCCCTGTAGGGGTCGGGACGGTGCCCAGTGCGGGGCTGGGGAGGCGGCTTCAGAGAGGCGAACCTGAAACCTGCACTTGGGGTTGTGGAAGGGAGGAGTTGACTTCGGAGGCCGGTCAGGAGGTTTCTAGGCTTGGGCTACCCAGGAAGCTGAGGTTTCTTTGAGAGCCTGAGGCTGACGGAGGTGGCCTGGGTGGGCGGATTGTACCGTGTGTGTGTGTGTGTGTCCCCGCGCGCTCGTGTGCGTGTGTGTGCCCACGAAGCATTTGGTCTCGTGTAAGGGCCTGTTGGATGCAGCTGTCCTCAATCACCCAGGACAGCCCAGGGAAACTTTTCTTTGCTAAACTCTGTGGCCCCGAGGAAGGCGTCCTGATTTCTTTCCGCAGCCTCCCCGGTGCAGAAGTGGTGCAGGCTGTCCAACCGCATCTAAACTTCCTGGCTGGGTCCTTGCGGTTCAGGTCAATAGAGCTCAGTATTTGGACTAGCAGAACCCTCTTCCCAGTGTGGCGTGTCTCTGGAAAACTTACTTCGCCTCTCTGAAACATCAGTCTCTTTACCTATGGAATGAGAGTTATGATATCAGTTGCTACTTTATAGGGCTGTTTGAAGCTTAACTATTAGTAATGCACGTGAAAAGTGCCTTATAAATGCAAGCAGTACTGAGCTGTGCGTTTATTATCTGTGAAGAGCCCTCTGCTTCTCAAAGCTGGTTTCCTGTTGTGCTGACTCGCAGTCTCCACTGTGCCCCAGATAAGAGCTGAGACTTAGTGAGCACTTACTATGTTCCAGGCATGCTAACACATAGTGTTCACTCAATCCTTTTCATGCCTCTTGAGGTGACTGCCTTAGAAAGGGGGCTGTCCTCTTTTTCAACATGTTGAAACCCCATCTCTACTAAATATGCACAAAATTAGCCAGGCATGGTGGCAGGTGCCTGTAATCCCAGCTACTTAGGAGGCTAAGACAGGAGAATCACTTGAACCTGGGAGGCAGAGGTTGTGGTGAGCCGAGATCGCGCCACTGCACTCCAGCCTGGGCGACAGAGCGAGACTGAGTCTCAAAAACAGTACATAAACTGTCCTGATCATAGCTGGTAAGTAGAGCTGGCCTTGAGGCAGGACGATCTGCTTTGAAAGCTGTGCCTGTCACCATTGCCCAGGGCATTGGCTCATGCGCATAGATCACGGATGGCTTCTAGAACTCCCAAAACGGTGAGTGCTACTCAGATGCCCACCTGGACAGCCCTTCCCAAAAAGACAGATGAACACAGTCAAGGTTAAGTGAGCACCTGCTCTGTAAGGCCCATGCGATCCTTGCTTAAAGGAGTCCTTAGTCTAATAGCCCTGAATGACCATCCATGGTGATAAGGGCTTTGAGAAACCAGTGCAGGGTCGTGGGGGCACAGACAGGCCCCGGCTTTTTCTGGTCTTTAGTCTGGAGCCTGTGCGGGTAAGGAGCCAGCTGTGGACAGAGGAGAGGTAGGCACGGAGGTAATGCAGGCTCCTGTGTGTCCCAGGAAGAGTTTGAACACCATGCAGCATCACCCTCGATAGCAGGGGTTTGTGATTCTAGGGTCAAAGGTCATGCTTTTGGTAATTTTCCTGGCATCTTTCTCTTTTATTTACAGAGGACATTTGCCACCCTTATATTGAGAACTGTCTCTGTCCCTTATCCCCAGCTTGAAAATATTCATTGGCAAACTAGTTATCTCTGGTGTAGCCAACCTTTTGATTTTCTTGTTCCTGTTCCTCATTCTACAAGCAGATTGGGCCTAAGGTTATTTGCCTGTTAAATGGTGGCTCGTGCCCGTGATCCCAGCACTTTTGAGGCAGGCGGATCACATAAGGTCAGGAGTTCGAGGCC